TACAATGTTACCAGCCTATGGCAGGCATCCAATTGCCAAGGACTTGCCATGACGAAGCCTACGTGAAACAACAACAAGCCTTTTGGGCTAACTGTAATAGAAATCCGTTGTGTGCCATCCCTGTTTGAAGAAGATCTAGAAATAAATAGTTTATATTAAAATATATTGTATTTCTAGGATTGAAGTGTTATCGTTCAATGACCGGCATGTGCTGTCTGCCATCCACTTGTCATGATGAAAACTATGTTAAAAAACAACAAGCCTATTGGGCCAACTGTTTGAAAAACCCCAACTGCGCCTTTCCCAAATAAAAACAAATGAAATAAATTGGTTTTTCAATTTAAATATTGCTTTAGCTCAAAAGAAGCGAATATTTTTTTTTCATTCGTTCAATTACATCAGCCTTATAAGATACACAGAAATGTAGGATATAAACTCCATTTCATTTCATTAGACCAATAAGATACAGAACAGTAGGATATAAAACTCTATTTCATTTCATTAGTCCAATAAGACTCAGAACAGTAAGATATAAAACTCTATTTCATCTCATTAGTCCAATAAGATACAGAACAGTAGGATATAAAACTCTATTTCATTTTATTAGTCCAATAAGATACAGAACAGTAGGATATAAAACTCTATTTCATTTCATTAGTCCAATAAGATACAGAACAGTAGGATATAAAACTCTATTTCATTTCATTAGTCCAATAAGATACAGAACAGTAGGACATAAAACTCCATTTCATTTCATTAGTTCAATAAGATACAGAACAATAGGATATAAAACTCTATTTCATTTCATTAGTCCAATAAGATACAGAACAGTAGGACATAAAACTCCATTTCATTTCATTAGTTCAAAAAGGTACAGAACAATAGGATATAAAACTCTATTTCATTTCATTAGTCCAATAAGATACAGAACAGTAGGATATAAAACTCTATTTCATTTCATTAGTTCAATAAGATACAGAACAGTAAGATATAAAACTCTATTTCATTTCATTTGTTCAAGCCAGGCATACATAGACTCCGACTGTGTCGATGTACACCTTGCTTAAGGCACAGAGCAGCAAGCAGTCCAAAACATCTGCCTCTATTCCAGCCTCTGATGGCTATTTTGATAACTTTCCCAATATCTACCAGAGGCTGGAATAGACTCGATCAGATGTTTCAGACTAAGTACATGTAATAAGATATAAAAATTGATCAAGTGTTTATTTTATTGTAGGTTTCAAATGTTACCGTCCTATGTCGGGGGTATGCTGTATTCCTAGCACCTGTCATGATGAAGTATACGTTAAGAAACAACAAGCATACTGGTCCAACTGTATGAATAACCCTAACTGTGCCCTTCCCCCATAAATC